TAATGGTAATGCTAGGCATTTAATAAAATTAAACTCATGTATCGGTACTAAATATCAGTGAAATATAATTGTGATATTTTGGTAATTTGCAACATTTATGCAGAATCTTATTTTGCCAACAATATTCATTTATGCAGCTAGTATTATCCAGGGAGATTAACAATGTTTTCGTTTAATTGGGGGAGGGGAGATTAAAGTGGCTTATAGTTTATATAAGATAAAAAGTATAGTTGTCTTGAAACTCAAATGGCAGCAAGCATTTCTTCTTCCATGACTTTCTTAAATGTGAGCATGTGAATTTGAACTTTTTTTTTGTGTAGAGGATAAAACGAATATGTGAATTATGACAAAAAAGCTGATTTAAGAATTCAAACTCTCGATTATCTATATGCAACATTAAATTTAAGAAAATTTTAAAAAGATAACTCATTCTACCGATAAAAAAAGAAATAAAACAACCAAAAAATTAAAAGAGAAAAAAAAGGAAAAAAGAAGTCATTTGGTTTGCATGAACTTCTTTCCCTCAACTATTTATGTGAATGCCAATTTTATTCCTTTACAGTGCCTTATGAATAGTACGGCAAATGAGACTTTGTCCTTTGAACCCTTGACGAGGCGCTTTAGTAATTTTAACATTATCTAATTCATAATTTTTCTCTATTTCTATTATACCAGATATTATTTTTTTTAAAAAAAACTCTCTTCTTATTTTTATAAATACAAGGCAATTTTTTTTCCATACCTATTTCTATTCTATTTTTTCCCTCTCATGCCGACCACGATGCCTTGGTATATTGAATAAATGCATTCTACTTTTTTTTTTTTATAAAAAAGACAGTGCATCTAAATTATTGCATAAAATATCCCCTTCTTGTAACTCCATAATTTTATTTTTTTTTGTTTTTCAAATGTTAAAAAAGGTGTAATAAACAATGCAGCAAGCACTACTTGTCATTAATATAAAAGTTAAATAACTAATTTAAGAATATAAGAAAAATAAGTTAAACTAATTATTTGTAATAAAGACATGTTAATTTTTTTTAAAATACTCTTATGAATCATATGTATTGAAATTATTCTTTGATAAAGTCCCCTAAACATACGTGTGTAATTAGTAAGAATATTTTAAGGAGAAAATTACAAATATTGAAAATAAAATAAATTGAGATTTTATATTTAGAACCTCAAGTTAGGTTTTTTTGTGCCAAAAATTTAGACAAGTTGGGCTCTGAAAGACTTCTCAAAGATCAAAACATGTCTTCACACTTACAATTTTTTTGGTGCTAAAACATAGTATCTTTTTATTGGAAGCAATCCTATTTAAGATACTGTCCGGCACTAAGAGTTTGTTTGGTTGGAGGGGAGAGTGGGGGAGGGGAGGGGAGGGGAGGGAAAATAAGCCCCTCCCCTCATTTGGTTAAAAATTTTGGAAGAGAGGGAAGCCAAAATATTCCCTCCCCCTCCCTCTCCCTCCCTCCATTTTAACTCCCCTCAAATTGGAATTTTTTGGAGAGAAGCTAAATTTTTGGACTATCATATCTTGATGATTTTTTTAATATTCCACTACTACCCATAAAATATATTATTATAATATTTATTTCAAATAAAAAATATATTATCCTAAGCAAAAAATAAAAATAAAAGTTATTATATTTAAAAAAATATATTATAACAAAAATTAATTAAATAAAAATTATAATATTATAAAATTAATTGTTTTTTATAAATATATTATTTACTAAATATATTTTAAAACTGAAGAAAATGATAGCTTAAAGAGAATAAAATTTTATTTTTCTTAGAGCATATAAAATTTGTTAATTTGATTATTTCAAATATATTATTATACTAATTAGGATAAAAATTACTCTACCGGTTTTTTAATGCACATATTAGCATGATAAGACTGGATTTTTATTAAATTATATAATTTAAGTTAAGATGTAAGTTAATTTATATAATACATCAATAAAAAATATAAACTAATATGTAAGGATAAAATAGTAAATTGATTATTTCGATCCCTCCCCTCCCATTCTTGAACCAAATAAGGAATCATTAAATATCCTCTCCTGCCTTTCTTTTTAATCAAACCAAACAAGGTGAAGATAAAACCTCCCTCCCTCCCCTACCTTCCCTTCAAACCAAATAAGCCTTAAATGTGAGCACCTGTCACAGTAAAGATTTGAACATTAATTCGTCATGTTGTGAAGAACTAATCTCTTTTACTAGACTTAGTCCCGTTGTTGGTTCCACACCCACGAGTTAGTATTAGCTGAATTATATCCCTTGCCGCAAGCTAGGGTGATGTATGAGGTTGCGCCATATTGGGCCTCAATGGGCCGGGTCAAGCAAGTGTTTTTTGGTCGACAACAAACTTGCAAAAAGTCACAGCCATTGGAAAGGAAAGCTTAAGTACCAGAACACAAACAAAAATATATTAAGCTATATTATTTATAACTCAAAATTAATAAAAGAAGTCCCTTCTGCAATATGCAGAATATCAGAAACTTTTTTAATGACGTAATAAAAAGGAGAATAAAAAGGTAGAAAAGGGCAAAAAAACATTCATATTTCAATGTGGGCAATACAAAACTGTATAATGAATTTTTATTTCTTGGTCATATATATAGATGATTATAAATAAATTGAATATGAAGTCAATGTTCCTCAACCATGCTTGAGTCACCTACTTTTTTAATGCACAACCATACAGTTACATGCAAGATTTAGATAACGTTTGTATTATTTATATCTAATTAAAAAAATGTTAATTATATAAAAAAAACTAATTTTGTGTTGTCATTCGAACACTACAATAATAAAAACACTGAAAGTAAATAACTTAAATAATAACATGAATAATGTAAAAACATTATATTAAAAAAAATTATAATTTTCAACCGTTCTCATTTTTATTATTACTTCCGATTCTTAATATAAGACCTCGTTTAAATTTTATTTTGATTCTAAATATAAGACCTTAATCTACTATATCTTTCGTATTATATATTTTTTCTTAAAATAGTTTTTGTAATAATAATAGTTCTAACCAATACACTTGATTAGCAAAGATATTTTAGAAAAAACAACACCTAGTTATTATAAATAAATGACTTAATTAGTTTTTTTAATTTACTCAAATTAGTTAACTAATTTTTATATTAAGAACGGGAGATATTATTTTTTTTTGTTTTTTAACCAATGCAGAGTGATACTCGAGATTACATTACTGTGTCTCCCAACCCAAATGTAGAACGGAGCAAACATCTTTCTACCCTTTTGATAATTGAAAAAAAAAAAAAACCTTTTGTACGTGGATTCATTCGGATACTTTTTTAAATTCCCTTCTCCCAACCCAGAGTGATAGTACCTCTGATGTTAATTATAAAATTTTATTTATAGATTATAAAAGAGGTCTTATAATTAAGATTGGAGATAGTAATTTATTATTTTATGCAAATTCATTTTTCAAAATTAAACCACATGGATTTAAAATTTAAATAATGAAAAAATTTATTTTTTCTTATTTTTTTTACAAAGTTGATAAGTCTTAAGTATCTTTTTAGTTTTGATTATAAAAAAAAATAGAAAGAGTATTTACCTTGTAATCTATTTGGTTCAACCCGTTAAAAGTGTATAATAAGGCGTGTAATGGTAATCATTATTACATCACTGTATTCGTATTTTATTCTTTTTAATTATAAATCACAAAGCTATTCGTTTTTATTCAAAATTCATAAATAAAATCGTGTGCTATTTTCTAGCTTTATGCAAATACATGACACCCATGGGGAGTTTTAGTATGTGCCAAAAAAAAAAGGGTTTACGTTTTGAAAGCTGAAGAGAAAGGAATAGGATTTTTGAAGTGCAAATGTGTTTTGTTGGTCAGGGGATTTTGAAGTGGGCATTGACGGCCGAGGAAAATGAGGCAAGGGAAAATTTTTTTTTAAAAAAAGATTTTATAAATAGTTTACAAAATTATTTTAGATGATATGATATATATAATTATATATGATCGCGCAAATTACAAATAAATAAATAAGCTAGAGCGTATAAAATAATTACGACCTATTTACCTAAATAAGTTTGACAATAAATAATGATCTATTTACTAAAAAAGTTAGATTAAACTCAAAATAGGCTAAATTATAAATGATTGATAAGAGTTTAGCCTGCTTTCTCCTCTACTTTTAGGTTTCATTTGGTTGGGTATACAATAAGATATACAAAAGGGATGCATCATTTTCAAGGCACTAAATCCAAAATTACTTTATATTTTTGTGTAATCATTATTTTTTTATTATCTGTATTATTAATTTCGATTTTAAAAAATAATATCTAAAATGAAAAAAAAAACTGTCATCATCAAGTTAGCACTCTTAAGTACTCCCTCTAATATTTTCCTACAAGGCATAATATAAAATATTTATTCGTTGGCAAAAAAAAAAATTTATTATATCTTTTCCATATCATCGTTATTTAACGTTGGTTCATTTTTCAAAATGACCCCAAATGAGTTTCAAATAATAAAATTTAAACAGTATTTTTTAATTTTAAGTACTTTCCAGTTTGAAAGCTTTAAAATTTAAAGAAAACATTTTTACATTTTACAAAACTAAATTTTCCTCACATATTTACTTAGTAGAGTGCAAAACTATTTCCATATAACTAATTCAAAGGGGATAACACTTTTCTTTTACGAGCAAAATGATACATAACACAGTCTATAATCATATGTACTTATATAATATTTATCCACAATCTCTCATGTAAATATAAATAATAAAAATAACCGTATTATTCAAAAATGGCAAATAAATTATTATTTTGAGCTTTGTGCACATACATAGCACTCACCTAATTTTTTTTATACATACACGTTCCCATGGTTTTTGGTTAAATGTATCTGGGGTGTGCGGGTACGTGCCCAAAAAAAAAAAAGTTTGCATTTTGAAAGCATAAGAGAAAGGAATGGGATTTTTGAAGCGCAATTTTTTTTTTTTGGTCAGAGGATTTTGAAGAGGGATTGAGGGTCGAGAAAAATGAGGCAAGGGCTGCAAAGTAGCAGTTATTCTTAAACCTTCTCATGGAAAAGCAGCGAAACCAGAATCACCACCACCCCCACCACCGTAACCCCGACAACAAGAACCACCACCGCCACCACCATCACCACCGTCAAACTTGGGGCACGTGGGAGGACCTTCTCCTAGCCTCCGCCGTCAAACGCCATGGCTCTAACGACTGGTACACCGTCGCCATGGAGATCCAGAACCGCACCAACCTCCCTCACCTCCTCACCACCGCCCGCAACTGCGAGCAGAAATTCCTCGATCTTGAACGCCGATTCACCGCCCAATGCAACGACGCCGTTCGGGAGCCTCCGGAGAACGGCGCCCCCGCCGACGACGTCGTCGATCACGTTCCCTGGCTCGACGAATTGCGTAAGCTCCGGGTAGCTGAGCTCCGGCGAGAGGTCCAACGTCACGACGTCTCTATTCTGTACGTCTCTCCCTCCCTTCATTTCCGGATTTTTAATATTCCTTTTTATTTACTATTTTCGTTTTAGATCTATTTATTTTTTTTCTTATTGTTATTTATTTTTATTTCGAGAAAAGATCGTTGCAGCACAAGGTGAAGCGATTGGAGGAGGAGAGAGAAAAAAGCTTGAAGGAGAATGACGCCGAACGAGATGAGAAACCAGATCTGGAAGACTCCGGGAAACCGGAAAACGACGAAAAAAACGGAGGAGGAGGAGAAGAGCCTGAACCGGCGAATTCTGAACCGGTAAGGCGGGTCGATGACGATGGAAATGATAATAGTAACGATAATAATAACAACAATAACAGCAGTACTAATAAGCTTCCAGTGGGGGACGACTCGGACCGGGACAACCAATCAGTTAACGAGTCGAATTCGACCGGTTCAAGATCAGCGGGGGAGAAAACCGGGGAGGAAGACGTGAAGCCTGAACCGTCTCCGGCTCAAACCGGTACGAAAAAACCGGATCCGAGTGAGGATAAAAAAGTCCAGGACTCGTCGGAGTTGAGAGACTCGGTGGCCAACTCGGAAGGGGGAGGGACGAGGGAGAGCAGCGAGGTGCAGAGCTCAGCGAGCCTGACGAGGAAGAGGAAGACGCGAAAGAGGAAGAAGATCCCCGGCGGCGGAGGTAACGGCGAGGAGGAGGCGCCGGAGAACGACGAGGTTGCCGCGAAATCACAACCGTTGGTTGGCCTCTTGGAGCTGATCAAAGGACATGAGAACAGCTCGTTGTTCGAGCGCCGTCTTGAAAGCCAGGTATTTTCCCCATCCAAAATTCCCTTCCTCCTTTTCTTTTGCGCGTGGACAAAACCGGTATTTCACACTTTCCAAAAAAATTCAAAATTTCTCAATTTGTTTGGTTTTTTCTTAAATTACGTTTTATTGCAACGCCCAAGATAACATGCATGCAAGGCCTCAAAACTGTTATACAAATAACTTCAATTTGTTATATTTTTATCAGAAAATCAATGCACAAATTTCTTGGAAAGTCCCTAAGACCCTAACTGAAGATTTTTATCAATCAGAAGGACGTTTTTAATTAGTAAAATTTTAAAATAGGGGCTTTTGTGGGATTTCCTAAAGTTTCTTTTATTAGGGTATTAGTATATAGGAGAATGGTATGAGCAAAATCGTAAACGTGTGTATACTTAAAACTTTATAATATAAAGGGCACCGTGGAGAACAAGTTGGTGCTTACGTTCATAAATCATGACTGTGAACCAAATAGGGACCACTTTTGAAATGGACACCAAGTTTGTGAGCACCACCAATCCAAAACTCCATAAATGACTAAACAAATTTACCCAAATTTTAAAAAAAAAATTAAATTAATTTTGTTGAGTAATATATAGAGGTTCTCGTCCGATTGCTGGTAATTCGATTTTCAAACTTTATAAAAAAAAATTAAATGAAAATAATTAAAAAAAAAAAATAAGAGTAAGGAGCAGAGTGATTTATTTTGAGGGAAAAGTAGTGAGGCAATGTGATGAGTTGTGAGAATTGGATAAGAGGCAGTTGGATATGATGAAGAACCTTTTCTTTGTCCGTCCTTTATATGGAAGTTCAGATATTCATCATTCACCACCCCCCAAAAATGCTAATAATATACATTTCTTAATCTATATATGTAGATATAATTTTGTATAAAAATTATTTTGGTTATTGGTTTCCAGAATTGTCTTGACGTGTCAGATTATATCTGGACATGTTTTTTTTTCTCATTTAAAATTTTCCCTTTTTTTTTTAAAGTGAGTGCCACACATTTTTAAAAAAAAATTTTTGGTCAGAATATTTTTTTTCCTGATTTAGGTAAAAAAAACTAAGAAATATAGTATAAAAATGTAATATTTTTAGTGAGCTCGTGCCATGGAGGACCTCTTCCCTATGCAACGTGCTTATCATGCCATGAGATTATTTCCTTAGGGCCCATTTGTTAGTTCTAATTCTGGGCTATGTGGATCCGTCCATGAAAAATTCCTTTCGGTCTTCAACAAAAAAATAAAATAATTAATTTACAGATATTAAAAAATTAATTAAATTAGTTATTTGTTAAATTTTTTTTTTTAAAAAATAATCTACTCAATTATTTGTATTTGAATGATCTCTTAATGAAAACCTTGTATAAAGAATAATTTAGAGGAAAAAATTATATATTTTTAAAGATAATGTAAATTGAAGTTTACGGGTAGATTTAAATACAACCCTAATTAGCTTGTACATACAGCACTAGAAGAAGTAATTGAACAATAGGAATAATTCTTTTGACAAAAAATACGAGAAAAGAAAATGGCGCTTTTATGCTTAGAAGTTAGAATACCTCAATATGCTATTTGATTGGTTGACTTAGGCTGCTTTGATAGAAGAATTCCATGTTTTAATTGAGTACGTAACTAAAATAAGAAGAATATTTAAGTTTATCCATGGCGCACAACGTTTAGCATTCGGCATTCTGCATTGCAAAAAATTATTTATTAACAGAAGATCTTATATAGTCCACATTTATCATAAATGAAAGTAAAATGTTTGGTGGTGTATGTAAACCTTTGAGGCTTACAATTTTAGTTTAGATATTGACTTTTTTGTTCTTGCTAAATTTATTCTGAAATGTTTACTTAAGGACAATACTAACATTATATATCTGTCATGATAAATTCTCTAATTACACATGATTACATGTTCTATTTTTAAAATATTATTATTTAATTATAAATCTATATGAAAAAAGAATACACAATCATGTATAATTGTAGAACTTGATAAGAATTTGACCAAATTTTTTTTCTTTACGTAATTTTAATGTTTTTGAGGAATTTATCATGTTATTCTGTGTTTTTTACCAATTAAATGAGGAATAAATAAATACGTTACTTATGGTATGAGACTTTAGATATTTAATAAATTAATTAGATTTTTATGCCATTTTCCGGAGCCGTCACTTTGGTGCTAGGATGACGTGGTTTGATCCTAATCATCCAACTTTGTCCGGCTTCATTTATGCTCGACCATTTTAATAATACACTTTTGCAGGATTTCCCACCCCACAATAATTGTGTTGTATATATGAATTTTTTTGTTACCTTTAACTGGCATTAAAGTTTTTAATATTATTATCTGAGATATCCGAAATTTTAATTGCTTAATTTAAAACTCAAAAGATGATCAACCAGCTTTAAAATATCTCATTGGCCTCCATGTTATCATTTCTAAAAAAATTTTATATTATTATTGTGATCTTTTTTTTTTTTTCATTCTCTTCAGATATTAGAGTGAGAATTTTAAATTATTAAATTAAGAATAATGTGAACTTTATTAAAGAGGGCTTTTTGGGCTTATGTATGCCCGCATTTAGTCATTCTAGGTATGCATATTGCTCATGTTTTTATATCTCATTTTGATATGCTTGTTTAGAATTTTGTTACATAATTTATTTTGTTTAGAATTTGATAATATACATTATATATGAGACTTACCTAATTTTTTTATTTTTTATATATAATTTTTGGCGAAATATAATATACTCTTCCGGTCTTAAATGTAAGACCCTTATACTAGTGTATAAGAGTCTTATATTTAGGACCAGAGGAGTATCTACTTTAAACTTGTATAGTATATGATGATTTTTTTTTTGCTACCGGAAAGTATATGATGATTTTTAGAATATAGAAATTATATGTATATTTATAAAAATTACTACCTCCGGTCCTTAATATAAGACCTCGTTTGACTTTTTGTTTGGTTCTAATTATAAAACCCCAATTTATTTTGTCTCTCATATTTATGTATTTTTTTCCAAGATAGTCTTTCTAATAATGATAGTTCTAGCCAATACACTTAATTAGCAAGGATATTTTAGGAATAACAATACTTATTTATTATAAATAACTAACTTAACTTACTTCTTTAATCTCCTCAAATAAATCAACCGGGTCTTATAATTAGAACATGAGGTAGTACTGTATTATCAATGCACTTATACGTCAATAAATCAATAAATGTAATAAATGTAATGTACTAATTGTTTTTGTTTTTTTGGGCTTGCAGGAGGAATGGGAAAAATACAAAAGCATGGTACGGGAGCACGTGGACCTAGAAATCATCCAAACGCGACTTCGAAACGGCTATTACTCCTCCGGCGGCTCCACCGCCTTCCTCCGCGACCTCTTTCTCCTCTTCACCAACTTCATCGCCTTCTTCCCCACCCATTCCGTCCAGTCACGCGCCGCCACCCAACTCTGCAACCTCGTCTCCGACGAGATGAAGAGCTTCACCACCCACAATAACACCGCTCCTTCACTCCCGCCTCCGCCGCCGGCGCCACCGTCATCGTCAGCCAAGCCTGAGTCTACTAATCTGCTTTCCAAGCACAAAGCTTCTGCTCCCATACTTGTTTGCCGGAAGCGAAGTTCGATATCCAGTAAACCTTCCTCTGCCTCTGCCTTTGGCCATAATAAGGGTAGTGAACGATCAAGCAGCGAGAAGAAGCCACCACCACCACCACCCCAGAAGAGGCCACCGTCGGTTTCTGATGACTCAGATGAAGAACCTCCTCCTTCTTCTCCTCCTCCTGCTCCTCCTTCTCTGCCGCCTAAGTCAAAGGATAAGCCGGTGACCCGAGTAAGAAGCCTGAGAAGAAGCAACAAAAACCTCGGTGGCAGCGGGGCCGCCGGAGTCGTCCAGAACAAGAAGCTTCAGTCCAGTAAATCAACCCCTCCCAAATCAGATCAAAAAAACAAAGCAGCAGCCGCAGAAGAAGAACAGGCAGGATCTGCGTCGGACAAAAAGAGGAGCGCGGCCGCAGATTTCTTAAAAAGGATAAAGAAAAACAGCGCCGGCGAGGCAATGAGGGACGGCGGCCGAGGAGGGGGCGGAAGAGATCAGAAAAAGGGTGGCGATCAGAAAGGGAGGGAGAGAACAGCGAGGCAAGGTGGAGGATCAGGGGAGAGAAAAGGAAGTGAGAATAATACAAAATATAATAACAATAGCAATCAGTCAAAGAGAAGTGTAGGGAGGCCACCGAAGAAAGTAGCAGAAAGTAATAATAATGCTTCAGTTTCTGCTAAACGAGGAAGGGAAAGTGGTGGTGGTGGGGGGAAGGATAAAAGGCCCAAGAAACGAACTAGGAAGTAAGTAATATAGAAATTAATTAGAGAATGTAATGGTGCAGTTTCATAGTTGGTTTTTTATTGGGGAAAAAAAAAAACTGTATATCATTGTCATTCTCACTCACTATTTATTTATTTATTTTTGCAGAACCTGTAGGTCTCAATCCTAGTGCTTTTTAAAAGAAAAGAAAAAGAAAACATCTCTTTCATTTCTGCCCCAAAAAAAAAAAAGTTTAAACTACATGATAGCATATGTTACGTGATATTTTATTTGATTCTTAATATAAAACTCAATTAACTAATTTACAAAAATTACTAAATTATTTTAAACTATTTATATTTATTATTTTTTAAAACTAATTTGTCTTACTTATAGATTAATATATAATTTAATGATATATAAATATTTTAAAAATATCATGTAATATATGTTATAATTAATTAATTTAATTTTTTTAATTTTTTTAAATTAATCAACTGGATATTAAAAATTGAAGGATTAGAGGTAGTACATATTCCTTCAATCTTAAATATAAAATCTTTATATCATAGATAAAAATTTTATATTTAGAATCGAAATAGTATTAAATTTTATGATTATAGATGATGATTCTCTTGACTAGGCTTGTAAGCATTACTTTTTGGAGGATTTTGGGCTTTGTATTCACCCATGGAAGCTAGCTAGCGCCAATATCAATCTCCTGTTTGAACTTTGGGTTTATTTTGTTTGTTTCCTTCTTACGATAGATTTCTTTGGACAAGTTGCTCCTCAAATTCAATTCACCTTTGACTACCACGAAAAATACAAACATTAGTAGTATAAAATACTCTTCCGGTTCTTAATATAACACTCATTTAACTAATTTGATTATATTAAGAAGATTAGATAAGTTAGTTAATTATAAAAAATGTGAAACGTTTTTTCTAAAATATCGTAATTATCTTTCTTAATACCCCATCTCCTTCTTCTGCTTGATTATGGTTGATGGAGTATCTATAAGGGTAATTTAGAGAAAATTGATAAATATAAGAAATGAGTCTTATATTTAGAACCAAAAACAACTCAACAATTGGGTCCTATATTAAGGACCAGAGGAGTATTATCTCCGATCCTAATAATAAGAGCTAGTTGACTAATTTAAGGAGATTAAGGAAAGAAGTTAAGTTAGTTATTTGTAATAAATATGTGCTGTCTTTCCTAAAATATTCTTGCTAATCAAGTGTATTAGCTAAAAATATTATTATTAGAAGGATTACTTTGGAAAAAAAATACATAAATTATGAAAAACAAAGTGGATTGGGGGTCTTATATTTAGGATCAAAATAAAAGTTAAACAAGGTACTCCCTCCGTTCCTTATTATAAGAGACAAATAACCGAAATACGTTGATCAAAAAAACAGTTAAAATTAGTTAAGAACAATTAATATGTAAAAAGTATAATTTGTTTTCCAAAAATGCCCTCATTAATAAGGAAAGAGAGCAAGAGAGAGAATAATTAAAATATTAAAAGAAAGAGAAGTGGGAGGGAGAGAGAGTGTGAGTTGGAGATAATAAATATGGGTAAAATAGGAAATCAACAAAAAAGTAGAGACAACTTTTAAGTGTCTCTTATATATAGAAACATACCATAAGCATCAAATGTCTCTTATAATAAGGAACGGAGGGAGTATTATATTAAAGATCAGAAGTAGTATAATTAAGGTAATCATTATTTATGATTCTACAAAAAATATTATTCAATAACATAATCTTTGCAAGACTTTTTTGTCAAAAAATAATCACACAAAAATTAACAAGTCGATTATAACCCTATTTGGCATGATATTAGAAATTACTTATAAACACATTATATATAAATTGAGACAAAATTATTTTTACATATTTACCTTGTATTCTGTAAATCATAATTAAAAAATTACTTATAAATTATTCTAAAATTTAGTCTTAAAAAAAAAGAAGAAAAGACAGGGAGGGACATGCTGACGTGGCCATCTCTGTCACGCGATCAAAGGGTCTATTCCATCAAAATTATTTTTGTGGTTGATTCTCACTAAAAGTTTATGAGCGTACAAATATTGTGAAAGCGACGTGAATTTCTTGCATGCCTATGCCCAATAAAGAACACAAAATTATGGTTGGTTCAAAATGCTTCCGACATATTACAACAAAAAACTCGTTGGCCAAAAAAAAAAAACTACCTCCGGTTTTAATTATAATAGCTAGTTGACTAATTTGAAAAAATAAAAAAAAGAAGTTAAGTTAGTTATTTATCACAAATAAGTGTTGTCTTTCCTAAAATATCTTTGCTAATCAAGTTTATTGGCTAAAACTACTATTGTTAGAAGGATTATTTTGGAAAAAAATGTATAAATATTATAGACAAGGTTGATTGAGGTTTTATATTTAAGACCAAAATAAAAATCAAAGATTCTATATTAAGGACCAGAGGTAGTACTACAACGAAAAACTAAACACGTTTCGAACCAAAAAATAAAAATAAAAACTTGAATTTTTTTTATCTATTTTCATTTTATGGTGGAAGATATATTTACTGATCGTCTCAAATACACAATGCTGATAGAAGTAATGATAATGTTTTCTGCGGAAGAATATGAAGATGAGAAGAAGAATAATTCTCCTCATCTCGCACAGACCCCACCACATTAAAAATCTTATACACTCCAATTATTTTAATAGTAGTATTTTATATTATTCATACTTTGGATTAATCAATGCACACACCTTCTCCTGGAAGATTAATTAGAACCTAAAATTTCCACAGAAAATTTTATTTGATTTTAATTTGGCAAATTTTAACATATACGCAAAAGAATAGTTGTTTCTGATATTCTTTATATAATTGTATATTATAATATATATTGATTGTAAAATGTCATTGATTTGACAGCATTTATCTGTCTTTTTCATCAACTAGAGAAAGGAAAAATCTTTGTAATCGAAAAAAGAGAAAGGAAAAAATCTTCTCTCAGCCTCACACAACAATTCAAAATAATAAAAGATTATTTGAAATAATTAAATAATTAAGTTAATTGTACATTTATCAAGATGTCCTTAATTTAGAAAAAAAAATTTTCCATCACCGCCAATGACTAGTAAATAATGATAGAGTGGTTTTAGTGGGAGTTGAACTTTGGAGCTCTTGGTTACCGGGAAAAAAAAAATAATGACGATTAAGATCTCAACTCAATTTATAATAAAAATTACTATTTCTGATTTTATTTATAAGATCTCATTTGCAGTTTATAAATGAGATATTATAAATAGGACCGGGATAGTATTATATATAAATAACATTAATTTAGCTAGGTAGCTGTCTTAAGAAAAATAATCTTCAATTTTCTATGATGTAATTTTGAATTTATTATCGTAGAGTTATTAATTTTGATTAAGTAATTGTTAATTGTTAATAGTTGTTTAATTGATAATTAGTTTATCAGTGTTGTCAATTAATTCTGAAAAATGGTTGTTAATTTTGACAGAAAAGTTATTACCAGAGGTTTTCATTTTCATTCACAAGTGACTAGTATTTTAAGCGCAGGGACTTGAGAACAATTTTTTTAGAAATTTTGTTCGTAATTTAAATATGTCGCGTGAGATTTTTTCTTTTTACTCTTAAAAATTGTCTAATGAGAGAGAAATGCGAAAAAAGTCTCCTCACTGGGACAGCCGGATGGGGATCCGATAATCGATTTTTTTTTTTTTTTTTAAATAGCTAAAAAAGTTTAAGTGAGTTAAGTTCAAATAACGTTTTACGATGTATATACAAATTGACCAACAACAAAATTTTGACATTGGGAATGAGATTAAAACTCATAACTTTATAAGTTATAAGTCTATTTCTTATCAACTGGACTAACTTTTATTCTATAATTGATTATGCTTTAAGCAATTTCAGATTTTCTAAAAAGAAAATTATGGGGTCCAAATCTCTTACTTCCTCTGATTCTTAATATAAAACTTTGTTTGACTTTTATTTTGATCCTACATATAAGACCTCAATTTATTTTGTCTCTTGTATTTATGTATTTTTTTTTCAAAGTAGTCCATCTAATAATAGTAGTTCTAACTAATAAATTTGATTAGCAAAGATATTTTAGGAAAGACAACACCTATTTATTACAAATAACTAATTTAACTTGTTTTCTTAATCTTATCAAATTAATCAATTAGTTCTTATAATTAAGACCGACGTAGTTTTTTTTTTTTAATGGAAAAGTAGTTTTAACAAGAAAGGGGGGGAAAAAACTTTAAAAAAGTGCCTTTCCCATGAAGAAGTAAAATATTCATGGTTGGTAGCGATACCACTTTTGGAGTTTTAACAAAGCAAGCAATAATTTGTCCATGACACAAACAACCCCTTAATTCTCAAACGAATAACAGAATTTTTGTTTTTTTGGAGAGATGCAACTGACTTTACGTGTGTTAAATTAAATATAAGAAGTTCAATTAAAATAAATTTCATTGTTTTTTTTACTAGGAAATAAATTTCATTGTTGATAGTTTCAATTTATTATAGATTATAGATGTGCGTGTGAACTAATGCAAACTTCTCATAAAATAAAAAAAATAAGGTACATATTGACGAAATTATCTATGTTACTCGTATATATTTTAAAAACACATACAAACTTCGGTTAAAAATAAAATGAAATAAATAATAAATAACAATCTTAGTGACAGAAAAAATTTCTTATAAACAGGAAGTATGGGATTTGATTCCGCTTATAGTTTCAAACCATCAGTGCGTTCCAATTTAATTCAAATAAATAAAATAAAACATTTCATATAAAGCAGTTTATACCTCCAATAGAATGTATTAAAATTATATAAAATTCAATTTTTTTGTGTAGTTTTAAAAAAAAGTTTTGGGGAAGTATGTATAATTCATCTTTCACTGTACACAATCTGCAACCTATTTTATTAAAAAAATTATATAATAAAGACAACAAAAAATAAAATGTAATCGATATAATTTTCACGAAGAAATTGAGGTTGCAACGCCCTCCATCTTGTGTTTGGGAATGTGGATAAGATGATAAGGAATATGGCATTTTTGGCTTTGGTCTCTAGTGCTTTTTACATTTTTTTTTTTTCACATCTTAAGACAAATAAATCATCTTTACTTAAATACCCAAAATAGGCTTTAATATTTTTTGAAATATAGGCTTCAGGTTTTTTAATATGGTTTATGGACGTAGGGGAAAAAATGAATTTCGTCTATTTTTTTCTTCATAAAATTATAACGAGCTATTTGATAATTTAATTTATAAGTCATGGTAAGTATAATTTATTATTTGAATATATTTAGGCATGACATGTGCATAATATGTCTCATTTGAACCATTCAAATAAAATTTGAACAGTTAGATGTTGTTATTTTATGTTTACATTCTTATATTAAAATATTATTCAATTTGAAAATTGATAGTTATAAGATTGACATTATTCATATTCCGTATCATTTAAAACAAAACAAAAACTCATTAAAGTATAATTAAAAAAAATGTAGTGGTTGGGACGAAGTGTGCACATGATATACATTAAATAAAGATCTGCACTATAAAATTATTAATTAAATTCTTTAATAAATAATTATTTCACTTTTAAGTTAGGCTGGGTCCACACAAACAAACAAAAGACACAATAATCAAGTCCATAGGAGGATTGAGGAGGCATATGAATATGCCATCAAAGAGTTAGCAATAAAACAGAAGAGATCGAAGAAAAGAAATTATTTGCTTCAATATTAAATATATGAGTTAGATAATTAATCTATGAACACTAAATTTTTTTAAAACTTTATTTATAAGTTACTTCTAACTTGTTTTATTAGAACAAAACAAATCTTAAACTTTATTAACCCAACCTTAAAATTAAACAATTTTCCAATTTTACTCACATATAATAAATGCCCTCTCTATAAAAATAACAATCTATATCATAATAAATGAATGATAAAATAACACATTCATGTTTTAAATTTAGTAATGTAATTTATACATAGGACAAAAATCTTCTCTCACTATCTCTAAAGGAATAGTTAAATTAATTATTTATAAAAATGTGTATGAATTTTTTTAAAATATTTCAGATTATTACCCCTTGATGAAAATTAAACCTTGATAGTATGAAAAAAAATTATAAATTTAAAAAAATAAAGTGAATTACTATTTTATACTCCTCCGGTCCTAATTATAAGACCCAATTGACTTATTTGAGGAGATTAAGGAAGTAAATTAAGTTGGTTATTTATAATAAATAAGTGTTGTTATTCCTAAAATATCCTTGCTAATTAAGTATATTGGCTAAAACTATCATTATTAGAAGGATTATCTTGGAAAAAAATACATAAATATAAGAGAGAAAATGGATTGGGTCTTATAATTAGGACCAAATAAAAAGTCAAATTGGGTCTTATAATAAGGACCGGAGGAGTATTTAAAATCAAAGTAATTATCTAATTAGCTCTTACATTAAAAAGGAAAAAAAAAACAATAGGTGGGAGTACTCTAAATAGAAGAAACACATTAAATAATATTTATACGCATTTATACTCATCATGAATTCTGAATCATAGATTTGTTTTTTGTTTTACTTAGAGAGAATTAACTAAGACGTTTTGGTCCAAAAAAAACAGAGAGAACAAAAAGTTAGAGGTTGGCCTTCATAAGTGTGTTTGGAGACCGCTAGCTTTCAATCAGTCAAATATTTCATGACGTCATAATAATAATAATAATAATAATAATAATAATAATAATAATAATAATAATATCTTCTAAAATTTTTTAATATGATACAAAAAGTATTAAATTTGGTTTGATATGCAACAAGAGACGCTCAACCTATTTTATAATATTTGGATAAAACTTAAATTAAGTTGCTTATATTTATTAGGTTAAATTTTCAATCACATTTGCTATTTCACTATTATTAATTAGTTATTTTCAATCACATTTGCTATTTCACTATTATTAATTAGTTGTTAAAATACCTATGTTTGTTTATAAATTTACCTGCTAACATCTGTAATATTTTTTTATATAAACTCTTCTAATGTAAATTAGGATACGTAAATTTTTACATGGGCAATTATTATTTTGTTATTATTAACTGTTAAACTATGTATGTGTATTTATAAATTTATTGTGAAACATGAACACTTTTTATTTTATTATTGTTAATTGCTAAAATGAATACTTATGAATGTGATCAAAGTTTTGTTGTCAAATACTTGAATGAGAAATCAGTAGGCCGAATAATATCTGACCTTTCCTCTTGAGTATGTTTATCCGCAAACACATGGTAACATCCGAAAAATCATGTTATAATTTAAAAAGTAAGAATAATAATTTTTAAAAATATCATTCCAATTATTTGAAGAAAAATTATTTTTAAAGTTCTTAATTTTTATTAATTTATATATTATTTTTATTTTGGTTTTTTTTTAAACCCCATCTAAGTGTTCACTGTGCTAGGCCATGTGGTTTTATTCTTCTTTTTCTTTATTTTATACATATTTGATTGGATCTAACTTCATGGGCTTTTGGGCCTCATTGTTTCCTCTCTTTCTCGCTCTTATACAGGGGATCTCTTCTCTCTCTCTCTCTCTCTCTCTCCCCCCATCCACACACACACACACAAAACATGTTTTATTTTCCAGCACTCCTGAATAATGCTTGCTTACCATAACCTGCAGAAGAAGGACGAATATGAGTAATCAAACCTGAAAAGATGCAAAATTTTCCTGATCACAAAAAGCTCTATCTTACCCATGACCTCCAATCATCCAATCAATGAAATGTGGAAAACTCAGCTGCAAAACAGCTCGAGCCACATGAATTCCTGGATGTGTTACTACTACATTCTGCTAATTAATCCACAACAATGAAACCAAAGGATTAAAACTGAGAAGAATTAGACAAGCAATTATGAAGTTGGAGACAGAACATACTGATAATGGCCCAGATTTGAACTCAATATGAGGTTTGTAATTGGCTAGCACTTTTGATGCCATCCTGCTTGCTGTGTGTACGATTGTAACCCTTGACATCCTCTTCTTCTCGTATCTAACCAGAGATCAAACTGATAAATTTACATTGTCCAAAGAAAATTTCCTTTCAGGTCAAAGGTTTCTTTATAGCGTGACTGATATGAATCAAATGGGTCAAACCCAGTTTCTGGAATTCAATGAGGTGTTTGGTACGCTATCATCTTATTTTCATCCTACCATCAGAATGGTTGAAGGCATTTAATTCAGGTATTTGTGGTCAAAATACCAGACAAAGATGTTTTCAGATATGGATGGAATTTTCTTATGGTGGGGAAGTTTATATTTTCAAAGATCTAGCTAATGATCTATCAAGTTATTATTGGCTCACAAATGAATATCTGGCTTCTCCATAATTTATATGCCAACACCACATAAAAAGCTATTGTTCAACATGGGGTCATCAGGAAGTCATCATTGTCAAATCTCAAGACAGAGAATTCAAGTAATCTTTTGGTCCTAAATATAACATCTATTTTATAATGTAAATTACACAATAAAATGAGTTTTACATTCAGAACCCGAGGAGTAATATTTATCTGCTTTTAATTGGGTGCTTTGAATATCATGAATCATGACCTGACATTGTTCCTAGCATGCAGATCTGTAAACTGCAATGTTAATTTTCTAGGCATTCATATTATATGAGAAAACTATGGGGTCTCTCAGCTCACACTGCTAAAACTGAAGCTGTCAATAGCAGTTATGTTCTTTCTTTCAATAACTTGTAATTATTAAACCGAGGTCCCAAATTTCATGCTAGTTTACACTCATTAGGATTCCTAGAGACATACACACCCCCGCGCATGCACGCGGTTCATATCCATTTTCCTTCAAGGGAGCCAAAAAAGATACCTTCTGAGGGCTGAGACAACTTCATCAGGCTTTCCACCAACAAAACCATGCTTAGCAACTTTATCAAGCTCGAGTATAAGCTGGTAACAATCCTGGAAATGTGATTGCAAACAACAGAAAATTTACCATGGATGTTTTCCAAACCCAGCTCTCCCAGCTCTGTTGATATATGCAGTTAAAGAGGTCATCTCTATAAGAACAGGGTTACTGCTTGTGCTAAATGAATCATAATTAATTGTTGTTGCAGGCGAATTGGAATGCATTGTCTTAAGTAAGTATTAAGGATTCACATAAAGATCCCAAACAGATGGAGCTAATATTACAGGGAAGAAGTAAATCAAGTTCACTGCTGATGCCATGCAGTGCATCCCTCCAAGGCCAAAGACAGAACAGAATCAGGCGTGCTTCGACACAAATAAATACTGACAAAAATATTGGAGGTGAGATTCATTTAAGGTGCATCTAGCATAAACTGCATGTGTTTGTAGACTTGGCATATTACTCTTTATGATGATTAGTTTCCTATCAAAGATATTCTAGAAAATCAAAGATAACAAACCTCGATTGCCATGCATCCCCCTTGACCAAGATTTGGTTGCATAGGATGGATTGCATCACCTAGTAGTGTGACTCTCCCAATTCCCCAAGTGTTGATGATGTCTCTGTCATAAATATCCCTTTGAAGAATCATATGTTCTGGTGTTTCTGATATGAGTTCGATCACTTCATTACACCACTTCCCAAATAAATCCAGAAGCCTCTTCTTTTTACCTACGCCCAATTAAGCAAATCAATTTCTAAATGAAATTGGTTAAACTTAGTTCAAGTTTACAACACAGCACTGCCAAGAATATGTTACCAATCTTTTGTCCACCAAGAAGTTCAAATTTACCAGCAAATGATTGAGAGTTTGAAATTACCTCCTGGGAAATCAGTACATGAAGGAGGCTCTCCGTGGAAAGCGTACCACTGCATCTTCCCATAGCCAACATCTGATGCAACAAAATACTGGTTAAAGCCCAAGAATACCCGATACCTTCAAATCAAAACAAATTCCAAATTAGCAAAACGACGAATGACATAAATGAATATTTGTTGAAGGTAAAAGCTGCTCTTGCATTTTAAGCTTCAAATCTCGGATACGTTTGTTTATTTCCTTAGTATTATATCCATCTTGACTAAATAATAACCTTGTTTTTGTGGTTAATTTTTTTTCAATGTCTTTCAACCCGATGACAGTTCTTTCTGAATTTTGGAGGAGGATCATACATTTTATACAATGGTTTTGGTAGGGTACCATCTTATAGATAAATTATTAGAGATAACACAAGAAACTGTAAAGCGACTAATTTTAAACATAGGGTTTGCTATCAAATTTTTTTAATGGAACTAAGACACACATGGACAAGTATTTATTGAAAGAAAATCACTGATGTCGTACCAAGAACTGCAACTACGTACCCAGTAGTACCAGGAACTTTTTTTTTTGAGCAACAGTAGTACCAGGAACTTGTAACACAGATTTTTTCTTTGTTTAATTTTAGCAGCTGCTATACGTTCCAACCCTGAAGTTTCTCACTTTTTTGGTGTTAAGAAATTTAACTGTCTTAAAAAATGTTGTCAGAAGTGAATTACGTACCCAATAGTATCTATATACTGCGGCACATAACTTGTTAATCCACTGTAGCATGTGAAACCAGAGTAGTTTGCTTCTTGCTTTCCAAAGAGCTTTGAACGCACCTAAGAAGATGAACAAACAGAGATTAAATTCCAAAACCAGTGTCGAAAGCAAACTTATTTGCAGACAAATTAAAAGTAAGGGAATCAAGGGTACTGTAAATTACTTCTGACCATATTCCATCTGCACCTATTAGAATATCACCTTCAAAATGCTCTCCATTTTCAAGACCCACTCTAACCTGATGATATGAATAAACAATCATCAATGTATTGCAGTGCTTGGCTATCAGAAAATAGTTTTTCTTCTTTGTTGGAAGAATCTCAAACCTTGTCAGGTTCTTGAATAAAGTCCACAACTTTGGATTTGTTTCTAACTATGTTTGGCCCAACTGCGTTCACTAATATATCTTGCAGTGTCATTCTATATATGACTGTGGTAAGAGGAAGCCCCTTCTTTAAAGCAGGAGTGAAAAGATCAAACTTAGTAAACCTGACATGGGAAGAACAGCTTATCAAAGACTAAATCTTTCAGATGCAATTCATCTACCCAATTTCCTTAAAACGTCTTCCAAGATGATCATAGGCCGAATATAGAACATTCAAAAAAATGGTAAGAACCCAGTACTTCAAAACCTAAGAAGTATCGACAATGACACAGACATAATTTATATAGCTATAATGTTCAAGTGATAATTTAAATTATTGAAAGCTCAACTAGATGTTAGTGACAAGACTAACCGACATAAAATAAGAAGGAAAGAAAATATTCATGCGATATGATAAGCCCCCACTGATCTCAGTAACATAACTTCCAATCAACTGAAACTTTTCATGTTCAGGTTAATGTCCTAAGGTAAATTAAACAGATTTGAGAGTAGAGAGAAGCATACCATTCCCCAGTTAAACCATCAGCGAGGCCATTAATCCTATTTCCTGTGACACAACCAGCTTCTATTATCTGCTTTGCAACCTTCTCATCTATGGCTTTCAGCACAGCTAAAGCACTACTCAGAAGTTGAATCGGCCCACGATGCATTCCTTCACCTCTCACAGCACTCAAATCTTTCTCAAAAACCTTCACATCATATCCTCTCTGCTTCGCTGCAAGAGCCAAAACAAGGCCTCCGATCCCCCCACCAGCAATTAACATCCTCAGCTTCACCTTCCCACACTTTTCTTCCTCTGAATCCGAAATCTTCCTACTTTGGCAATTAATCAAATAGCTTCTGCCTCTGATCCTTCCTGGCTTCCTCCAGGGCTCTCTGGTTCTGACACAACTCAGCCCGCATGAACAGAAGCTCCGTACAGAGACCATTGGTCAGTAGTAACTGGAATTGGGAAGTCAAGAAGAAGCCAACTAGAAACAGTGCTTGATTGATCTGTCTTTGTAACTGGAGATCAAAAGAAGCTGCGTTCATCCTTAAGAATTAATTGATCAGAGGATTGACTATACAGCATGTGGATGTACCTTGTGGGTTTGTGATGTGAGGGATATAGTACTTTGCTGGGAAAAAAGCCAACAACAGAAAGAAAATCTGAAAGTCCATGTGACTTTGATGACACTGAGAATGGAAGAAACTGCACTGTAACATGTGGGAAATGAACCTAACTAGTTATTAAATCAAAGTCATATGGAGAATGTGAGGTTTGATCATGTGAAAATGCTCTAAGAAGACACACGGAAATGTTTCTCCATACTTGTTTTGTGAGACAACTGAATTTGCATTCCACCTTCAACGGTAGGGAAGCACCACTTCACAAACAAGGACAAATTGCTTTCACTACGCACAAATAATATATACAAAGACAAAGTGGAGTCCATGTCAAGAGTTATGTCCTTGTGCTTTCCACAGATTGCATTGTTTACATGCATGCATCTGTACATTTGGCAAAAAAAAAAAAGATCTTTTTTTTGGAATAGAAAGCCATGAAAAAAAATTTGCGCGAATAACATACACCATGCCAGTAGTATTATGATTTAGTGGTATAAAATTCTTTGCTGGTAAAAAAAAAAAAAGTGGTATAAAAATTCTTTGCTAGATGAGAGGTCGTAGGTTTGATTTATTTGTAACTTAAAATTATTAGTGTCTCCCTCTTTAAATTTTTTAAAAAAAACAAAGTCGAAAAATCTATGCACCCTAAGAATGAGATATTTTGAAAAGCTGTATGAAAACGGGGTTCAAAAAATGTTAGAGGAGAATAAAATGAATGGATCAATTAAAAACACAAGAAATAGAATAATAAAGAATGTGTTGTTATATTACTTTAAAGTTTAAAGACAAAGCGTTTGGATTAGTGGTAAAAAACAAAAATTTATTTCAATTTGACTTTTATAAAAAAAGATTGGATAAAAGTTAGATTAGGAATATGATTTGTATTTGGATTAACTTTTATAAAAGTTAGTTTATAAAATAAAAAGTTATTTGGATTAGAATTGAATAAGTAAGTTTAGTTTGTAGAATGACCAAAATGGGTATAACTTTTATTAAATAATGAAAAATGATTAAAAGCATGAATTTACAAAATATAATAATTTAAAATAGGAAAAAGTTATATTTAATGAATAAAATATATTTAAATTAGAAATCATATTAATGTGAAAAATTTTGAACCAAATAATATTACTAATTAATTGGATAATATACTCTGCATAATTTATGTAAATAAAAAAATAATATTAAAAATTAAAAATATTATAAAAACGGTTAAAAATGATTTTACCTAAGAGAATATTAAAAATAAATAATTAAAACATGATTGGGAGGCACAAAAAATATACAGAGAGAAGCATAAGAATAACATATGGGCAAATTGTCTTTTAATTCCAAAAAACTACTTTTACATAATTTATAAGTAAGTTTCAGATGCTTTTGTAATCGTGCTTAAAAAAAAGCTTTTAACCCATAAATCAGATGGATCAAAAGCTATGACAAACAGCTCCTAAATTTACAAACTGACTTGTCATACCTATAAGCTACTTTTCTCCCCTCAAAATGCTTTTCCAAACAAGCTGAAAAGAGATAATCATATTGATATGAAATAACTTGTAAATGATTTCTTGATAAAGTCTTATTTTATGATTGGAACATGATATATCAAGTTTTTAGTCAAATAAAATATAATTAATTATTCTTTTCCGATGTATAAAAAGAATATAATTAGTTGTAATTGCACCACTAGATTGTCCATTTATTCCTAACCCTCCAATTTGAAAGGACCAAAAGATTTTGGGTTCTAGATAGTTGAGAGGGAATTGAAGATTGAAACTTTCTTTTTTGTCAAGTTATTAAACAAGAAACTCTTAAACAAAGATTCAATCCATATACTACCTCCGGTCTTAATTATAAGAGTTACTTGACTAATTTGAGGAGATTAAAAAAATAAGTTAAGTTAATTAGTTGTAATAAATAGGTGTTGTATTTCCTAAAATATCCTTACTTATCAAGTGTATTGGCTAGAATTACCATCGCTAGAAAGACTACCTTGGGAAAAAATACATAAATATAAGAGACAGAGTGGATTGAGGTTTTATATTTAGGACTAAAATAAAAGTCAAACAAGGTTTTATACTAAGGACAGGACATAGTATAATCATTGCATAGTAATTCAGTTGGATGAATAAATAAAACAAAATTGTCTGAACCAAGCATGATTAAGCCATGTGGTTTTATTAGAAGACTTACATTTTAATGAGAGCCAATCCAGCCACAATATCTTGGTCAAAAAAAAAATCCAGCCACAATATAATTTTTGATGTATTTTCTCTACACCTTCTCACAAGTAAGGCGTTGTGATAATTTAAAAAAAATTAAAAAAACTTAAAAAGAGATTACTAATTAAACTTTCAAAATCCTAATCGTTATTGGTTGTTGTTGTGGAGTCAGACCAATAGTGTAAAGCATAGACATAATGGTTCTTTTGAAAATGCTTGTTTGGGAGTCAAATAATTTGACTTAAAATTGATATGTGCGTGTGGGTCAAAAAGATAAGCCCCACGTACAGAGTACAGACACAGCTGGAATAATTGATGCATCAACCTCTTAAGGTGGGACCTATCTGCCAAGAGGACTGTTGTGTACACCACTTTTTTTTTTTTTAAAACATGAGAGTTTATTGAAAATTGTATTTAATCTTAAATATAATATTTCAGTTTATTTTGTCTTTTAAATTTATAATTTATCACTCAACGTATCCATATTAATTGCACATATTAAAAGGATTTTTATCTAGATTAGTTATAATTAAAAAGATACTTTAAGAAATTTAACTCATATTTATTACAAATAATTAGCTTAGCACATATCCCTACAAAAATCCACTCAATTCAATAAAACTAAAGGTTAAGATTTATTTGTACTTTCTAAAATTTGATCTCATTTTATTCGTGAAAATTTGATTTTATTATGGTCCACCTAAGGATGTTTGGTCTCTGCAACAATGTTTTTTTTTTTTTTACCAGCAGCAGCAATTTGCTTTCATTCAGATTCAAGCTTACATAAATCAACATATGAATATTTATATGTTTTATAAATTAACATTTAAACATTTATACTCTTTATATTTGGTCTTGATAGAATTAAAAAGATCATTTCATTTTTTTGTTTTTTAGAATATATAAATTCTTTTTATAATTCCTTTGTAACATTTTATTTATAATTATCATATATATATTTCATTAAATTCCTGTAATTCTTCGAACTAAACGGGCACTCAATCTCTTTGCAGGATTAAGGACCATCTGCTTAATTTATTTATGGGCACATTTGTTAACCTTCTTATATGTGTTCATACAACCTTAACGAGAAAAAAAAAATTTCTTATCATTTTCTTCTTCATACAATTTTTAAGCAAAACCATGATGTGGAATTTCTTTTATATTTAATATACTGATTGAAATGATCACCAACATTACATGTAAATTGACAAAACTTATGGTCCAAAAGGATAAAATACTTATTTCTTAAATGATCGTTTTCTGGATAATTTTCGTCCTCTCAGCAGAATCGTAATTGTGCAGACCACCTCTTGTATGGAAACCTCTCTCCTATCCTTTTCGTGTGGCCTCTCCTGTTGCTCCCTTTAACCAGATCATGAAAGGGTTTGGTTATGTGTTAACAATCCCTCATCCTCAATGTGAAAATTAATTAGAGTTAATTTTAATCCTAATATAAAATTTTAATCTACTTTATCCTTCATATTTATCATTATTTTCCTACAAATAACTTATCCAACTTATAAACAAATGTATGATTTAATATTTTAAAAAATCATATCATGTTAATCAGAATTAACTATTTAATTTATTCAAATTATTAACTTTTACATAAGAACCACAAAGTATATTACAAGAAATTTAAACTAAGCTGCACTATGTACAACTCATAAATAGTACTACCACCAAACTTAATATAAAATTTAATTTGTAGTTCAATTTAAACTAAAAAGTAATTTTATATAAAAACCAGAGGTAATATTACTTATTACAATCTATAATGCATGGGAAAAAATTACCATCGATATTGTGATCTGTTAATTCTCCCAGGCATCCACATCCGCAATACCACAATAGAAATGACAACATACTAAAAATTTTATTAATAATAACTTCTACACGATAATTTAAAAAAAAAAAACATCGGATAATTTGTTGTTTCCTTTCGTAAAGGGGCAAGAAAAAAATCATGCCAAACATGAGAATCTCGTACAGGCAAAAATGAATAACATGATAAACAACTGTCTAGAAGTATATACCTGCTCTCTATCACAGTAATCCAAATATCAGAGTCATAAAAGTGATCAACAATGTATTGAGAGAGAGAGAGAGAGAGTGTGAAGAAGGAATGATTTTCATACTCTTCCAACATACGACTGCATAGTTGTAAAGAATTCAATTTGATGACCAGAATCAACCATTCAGTAAAGAATTCAATTTGATGACCAAGAATCAACCATTCAGTAACCTAAACAACTATTTAATCATTTGGGCCGCTATGATGACTTCAACCTTCAACGTAGTGCCAGGCCCAGTTCAAACACTGGCATCTCACAACCCCCAAAAACAAACAAAGGCAATAAACGACAGAAAGAGAGGATGGGAGAGGAAAGTTAACAGATTAAAGTTGACAGGGACATAAAAGCACCAAATTATACATAACATCACTAATGGGATAATATTATACAAGCATCAGATCAGCTGGTCCTAAGTCAAATTTAAACCTGAAAAAACTATAACCAAACTATAATAACTTCGATCCTAAACACGACTAATCCACAAGATGCCAAACACCTACGAGTTATCATATGTTAGAACGATATATCTTCATGGCATAATACAACAACGACAAAGTTCATTCTTTTTTCCATTTTGAGTCTGTCCCCATTATACCTCTTCCCTTTTATCAATCTCGATCCATTGTTTGAGCATGTCGGAACGTCGGCCACCTTCGTCTGTTCGAACAATAAGATCGCAGAAGTCTTAAAAAATAACAAATAAAAACACACCATAAAAGCCAAAGAGGTAAATTTTGTAAGTTTTGATGACAACTTTTTATCCGACGAAAATCTAGCATGGTAGTCTCCATCCATATCCCTAATATATCCACTAGTTCATACTAATCCTCGGTGGACTCTAAATTATGTAAATTGTTTTATGAACTCTTCCTGTGCATGAGAA